TCTCCTGGAGGGAAGGATATTAAAAAAATATGTATCATTTAGTTTTCTTCTGCCACACAAATTGGCAGAAGCTGATTGATATATTCCAGAGATTCAGATATGCGTATCACATTACTGTAGGAGGGCTTCACTTTTTTTTTTTTTTTTTTTAAGTACTGGAGAAGTTTGATGGAATCATATTCTTGGCTTTTTGTCCAGAATTTCTGTTGCCCAGTAATACAAAAAACACCAACTACATAGTTCTGAATTCTCAAACAATGTCCACTGATGTTGACTACGAGGGAGTTGATGAGAATCCTGAGGTGAAATGTTGGAACAGTTTGCCTATTCTGACCCCAAATGAGTGGAATGATGATCACTTGATTATTGTGTTAAAAAAAATACAAGTATATGGGCCTCCTAGGTGGCTTAGTCGGTTAAATGTCTAACTCTTGATTTCGGCTCAGGTCATGATCTCAGGGTCATGAGATTGAGCCCTGCGTGGGGTCGGAGCTGGCCATGGAGCCTGCTTAAGATTCTCTCTCTCCTTCTCCCTCTGCCCCTCTAAACCCTCTATAAATAAATAAACAGGGGCGCCCGGGTGGCTCAGCCATTAGGAGTCTGCCTTCAGCTCAGGTCATGATCTCAGGGTCCTGGGATCAAGCCCCGCATCGGGCTCCCTGCTCCGCAGGAAGCCTGCCTCTCCCTCTCCCACTCCCCTTGCTTGTGTTCCCTCTCTGTGTCTCTCTCTGCCAAATAAATAAAATCTTTAAAAATAAATAAATAAATAAATACTAAAACAAGTAGAAATTTCTCCTTCTACCTGGGCACTTCCCAGTCCTTCCTATCTCTGCCCCTCCACAAAAGTTTCTGGATCTAAGATTAAAGGATAAAAACAAGCAGTATGATGGTAACTACACTTATCGTGGTGATCATTTCATCATGTATACGAATGTCAAATCACTCTGTTGTACACCCAAAACTAATATATGTCAACTATATAGGAAAAAAATAGCGTGAAGTTAAAAAAAAAATTGAGAACTTTTTTTTTTTTTACCAGGTTAATGGTCACAGGTCTTAGACAATAGTCACCTATCCCATTCCTTCTTACCAACCAGGATGGGGGTGGGAGGGGTGGACAGGGACCAGATATTCTGTTTACAGATTTTTCCTTAATCCTGTTTTTAGCCCCACCATCTCATTCTTGACTTCCAGCGTGTCTGGTGTTTCAAAGTCCCAAGCCTCTCAGAGATCTACAGGACAGATCAGTTGCCTTCTCTATATCCCAGTCTAGATTTTAGTAGATGCAAACCCTAGGGGTTAGGAGAGGTGGTGTGATGAAACAGAAAGGATACAGAACTGTATTGCAGTCCCACCCCTTCTACTGCCTTGAACTTGGTAAAGTCCTGTCACCTCCCTGGGCCTCTTTCCCTCCTCTTACTTAATAGACTCCCAGAGTCATGCACTCTGCCTCAGTGATAGAACCTCCCCATCCCCTGACTCACCCCTAAGCAAAGCAGCTGGGACTTTTCTATTCGGAGAGAAATGAGCCACAAGGATCCTTAAGGCAGAAAATCCTTGGGGACCCAGAAGCCCCCAGGAGGGATCTATGGTGGCAGCCTGGAGTCATAAATAGGCATTCGGTGGCTGTTAAGGGGCTGTGAACACGGTGTGCTTTATCGTGATGGATGGTAGGCCTTGGCCCAGCAGAGGCTGAATCCAGATGGGACCTTGGTGAAAGCTGTGGGGGGGACTGTGTAATCACGCTTCTCTTTAAGGAGTATCTTTGGCCTGACAGAATAAAGAACACATGCCTCCGGGGGAGAGGAGGGTCAGGTTCACCACACGGGTTAGGAGTGTGGAGGATGCACCATACATAAGCACATGGGGTTTCTGGGATTAGATAAAACAAAAGAGCTAAGGGGCACCTGGGTGGCTCAGTTGTTAAGCATCTGCCTTCTGTTCAAGTCATGATCCCAGGGTCCTGGGATCGAGTTCCACATCGGGCTCCCTGCTCCACGGGAAGCCTGCTTCTCCCTCTCCCACTCCCCCTGCTTTTGTTCCCTCTCTCGCTGTCTCTCTCTGTCAAATAAATAAATAAAATGCTTAAAAAAAAAAAGCTAAATCCAGAGTTTGTTTGTGCCCTGGGCTCAAATCTCCTTTCCTCTCACGGATTGGGTTCCACTGGAGCTGACTCAGAGACAAGAGAGTATCGATTAGCGATTAGTGAGCAGGGAGTTTATGAGGGAGTGCTGCTCAGGAGCAGGGGAGGGGCGGGGAGGCAGCAGGGAAGGCTGAGGGAGCAGTTTGCAGTGGTGCAGTCATTGGAGGCTTTGGCAGACCCCGTGGGGAACTCTGAAGCTGGGATGGCTGTTCCAAGTTGGGGAAAAGGGGCCAAGCCTTTGTATCCCTGCATGGACTAGTCATCGGATGCTAGCTACCCCAGGAATGGGGCATGACCTTGGGTGAGGCTGCTCTTCAGCCAAGGACAATTCCTTGAGAGGGCTGACAACTGAGATCTGTCAACCTCCCACCTTCCCAGTAGCTGGGGACTGGGTCCTTCAGTCTTCAGGGGGACCAGGAAGCCCAAGGCAACATTTGCCACAGTGCACCCACTGTGCTATGCAGATCCACCTGCTTCTTTTCAGTTCTGAGAGCGGGACCCTGGTGGGGATGTATTTCTGTGGGAATCTTTTAAGAGGAAGGTTAGCGGGACAAACTACAGCTCCCACCGTTGCTGTAGCTCATCTCGAGGCATAAGTGACACACGAAACCCTTCCCTCCTCTTCTGCCATCCTAGATTCTTCTCACCTTCTGCTAGCACCGCTGTGGGCTAGGTGGCATATATGGTGAGGTGGCTCAGACCTCCATCCCTAAGGAGTTCGAGCCACTGGTTGCTATGTATTTCTCAGGCTGTGGCTACTTTGTCCATTTACTGTCAAAATAAGGCAAAGGAGTACTAAGAGATATGGCAGGCAGATCATGTGAGTGCCAAACCATTCCATTTTACAATGGTGAAAAATTGAACAGCCTCAGTGTTTCCCTGTGCCTCAGGCTATGGGCACCCCTCCTCTACTGGGGATGGAACCCTCATTATTACCTGGACAGCAGGGTCATCCAGCTCCCAAATCCCATCTGAGCATCTACTCTTTGAGACCATCCCTGGCACTAGCTGCAGCAGGTTGGGTGTGTTCTCTAGGAAACACTGTTGAGTTGCGGGGAGTTTCCTGGGGAGTGCCCTTGGGACCCACACCTGTGAGGGGGAAAAAGGGGAAGCAGCACTTGGCAAAGGGAGAACTCAGGTGGCAGCAAAGCCACAGAAGGATCCCAGGGGACCCCACAGGAGCTCTGGAGCTGGGATTGCCCTCCAGAGTTGCTTGGGCTGGACTGAGGGAGCCAGGTTTTTACCTGACGGTGACCGGTCACTGGATGCTAGCTGACCTGGGAAGGTGTGATCTTGGGCAAGGAGCTCAGCCAGAAGCAGGGGTGGGGTAGAGGGGCAGGAAGAAAGCCTTCAGTCCTGAAGGGAGGTCTGGGAAGCACAGGACTGCAGCCATGACCATTTGTATCCCGCAGTTCCACCCATCGGTGTGATCCTGACACCTGCCCTAAAGAGCGTTTCTAGCCTGGGATGGAGGGAAGGCAGAGAGACCCCTTGCGTGCCAGGTGCTGATATGCTCCCCTCACCAAACCTCCGATGCTGACGTGCTTGAGCCCCACAAACTCTCACCACTCCCCCTACTCATAGGAACATGGAGGAAAAGGATGCATTTTAGGAAGGAATTAATTTGGTGTCTGGACAGACACCTTGCCAGACAGTTTGGAGGAGGAAATTGGTGATTGATCATGAGAAGCCACCTGCTGGAGACTTCTTGAGGTGGAGAGCGCCAAAATGGACGGCTCTGTTCATTTCCCTTTGTCTCAGTTTCTGCAAGACAGGATTTATTCAACGAAAATCTACCCTGGTTTATTATCTAGGTAGGGCCACAGAAATGGCCGACTAAACCAGAACCTGCCCAGGTTGACTGTGGACATCTCTGCACAGTGCCTGACACCTAATAAGTGCCTGATAACTATTTGTTGAAAGCATGGATGCAAGGTGCTTACCCTCTGAGTGTCATCAGAGTTGGGATGATAACAGGTCCTACCTCATCACATTGTTTTCTATTTCTTCTAGAATATATTTTTGCTAATTTATAGTTTCCTAAAATTGTCCACTTCATCTGCTTTTTTTTTTTTTAAGATTTTTTTTTAAAGATTTTTTTATTTATTTGCGAGAGAGAGAATGAGAGACAGAGAGCATGAGAGGGAGAAGGGTCAGAGGGAGAAGCAGACTCGGGACTCCAGGATCATGACCTGAGCCGAAGGCAGTCGCTTAACCAACTGAGCCACCCAGGCGCCCTCATCTGCTTTTTAAATCCGAGTTCCAAAAGGATAGGACCCTTGTTTGTCTTGCCTACTGTTGTGTCCCCAGCCTCAGTACAAACCACAGAGCGGGCTTCCAGTAAATATTTGTCCTATGAGTGAATGTGTGTGGGGGAGGAAAGATTATTTTGGAAAAAAGAAGGAAGAATTAATTCCTCTCCTAATTGTGACTCATTTTTTTTCGAGCCACCCTTGGCCTTTCCTCATTCAAAACATCCATGAAAACAGTGCAGTTCCAAAACAGTTGGGGCTGTTGATGCAACAATATTTAAAAATACCGTTACTGGGAGAGAAGCAAGGGGCTTCTGCGCTCTTCTACGGTCTTCGAGCCTCTGCAGACCGATTCATGTCTTTGCCACACCCTCCTCTGTGTTTGTTCCATCCTCCCCACTTCAGTTGTTTTCCAAGAATGGATGATGAACCCACTGTGAGCCAGGCATTGTGCTACCCCCCCGCCCGCACAGTTTTGTTTTTCTCCCCCCAAATTTCCACTCACACCACTTTCCGTGGTCCACGGAGGCCTTGCAACCGCCACGGTTGCCCAACTTCTGCCCCCTGGCGGCCATCCCGAGGAGCAGCGCCCGAGGTCTCCTCGCCGCCCGGGGGCCCGCCCCGTCGCCCGCCGTCGGCCCCGCAGTCGCCGGCTCCTCGCGGGTTCGAAACAGTTGGGAGTTGGACCCACTCCAGCTTCGGCTCTGGGAGGCCCTCTGAGCGGCCTGCCCTCCTGGGGCCATGAAGAAGGCCGTCCCAAAAAGCAAAAAAGGTAACTGGGGAGTGGGGAGAGGGCGACGCCCTGGGGACAAAGCCTTCATCACTTTGCCTCCCCTGTAAGATGAGAACGTCAGACTCTTGGTCTGGGAGGTAGCCTCTCCCCATCATTTGTTTACTAAACTATGCTTTACATACAATAAGAGCCCCCCATTGTTAGTGTATAGCTCTGAGGTTTGACAAACGATGACCCAGGTTTAACCACCACCATCAAGATGTGGAGAAATTCAACCCCCCCCCCCCCCCCGCCCCGGGGCTTTGCGCTGCCCCTTTGCCGCCCTCCCGCACTTGTGGGCCTGGCGCTCCCGATCTATGTTTTGTCCTTTCCATGGAGAAGGTGGAATCATCAGGGGTGGAGTCTTTTGAGTCTGCCTTCTGCTGTCTTCGGAGACTGGGCTGCATAGATTATTTTATCCTAAGCACATGTAATTTGCAAGCTGAGGTTGGGACTCAGAGCCTGCCTAAGATGCCACTTGCTGGGAACTGGAGGCTGAAGGAGGGATACGGCCTGCTCCAAATCGCTCCTATAATCCTGAACAATCTCCGAATGTGGTACCTTCTTTATACTGGGTTCCTTTATTTATTTTCTAGAGAGCATCTGTGGTTTGAGGGAAGGTGAGGCTGGAGATGAGCAAGAACACTTGCTTAGAAGAGGGAAGGGCCAGGAACCTGGCCAGCCGCCGCAGAGGGACTGGGGGAGCCCTTCCCTCAGCAGTTGGGGACTCCTGGGCCCTCAAAACACCACAGTCCCATGGATTTGGCAAAGGCTCATCAAGTAGCCTTTTGTCTCTTGTCCTTAAGGAAAAGTGTGCTGAAAACGAATGTCCCCAGAAGCTTCCTGTGGACTGAAAATGAGTCTTCTCAGAAGTTTCCTCTTGGGAGAATAACTTGTTCTAAATCACTCCACAGTCTGAAACTTTTCTTGTGAGAGTTAGTTCTGTAGTTCTGTATTTCGACACCCCTCCACCACCACCCATTGTCCCAGATTTTCCTGCCAAATGATCTTTTCCTGCTATCTCCACTGTCATTGCCAGGGCATGCTTGGGTGATTACGTAACACTTGGATTTCCCACTTCCACTCTGGACCCCACAATCCATGGTTTGGTTTTGTCTTAAGAAAAATGCAAATCTTACTGTGTCCTGTTCCGGTGGCTCCTCAGGTCTTGCAGTGAGCTAAGCCTGTGAAGCAGCCCAGGTGGGCTCTACCTTTGCTCCTCCCGCCTGCCCCCTCCTCTCCATTCTTTCCTGTCTCAGAACCTTGATCCGCTTTGCTCCCTCCCACCTTCCTTGGTCTAAATATTTCCTGTTGGTCTTTTTGACCTCAATCCAAATGTTACCTCCTATATGAAGCCTGAACCACCTTCCCCATGGGATACCTTGGCCTCCTGTCAGTCCCCCTCAGAGCTCTCTCTACTTTTCCTTCATAGCATGTGTTATCGTTTGTTATTCAACATACATTTACATGACCGATGGATATCCGTCTCTTCCACTAAGCTGGAAGATCCATGAGGGCAAGGAACTGTTATTTCCTAGCACACTGCCTGCCTCAGAAAAGATTTGTCAAGTGGATAGATGATAACTGACATTAATTAGGCACTCAGCAAGTGCCAGGCCCTGTGCAAAGCCCTTTACCTATCTAGTTTATACTCCTAACAAGCCTCTAAGCTTACTGTCCTCACTTTACTGAGAGGGAAACTGAGGAATAGAAAGGATAAGAAACTGTCCTGGGGGTCTGGCTTTAGGACCCCAATGGTACTACATGTTGCTGTCTAGGTGACAGACTGAAAAAATGTCTCCCTCTTTTTATTAGACAAACAAATCAACTTCAACGTCAAGTCATCTGTGCATAACTTGAGCAAAACTCAGCAGACCAAACTCACTGTGGGGAACCTGGGCCTAGGCCTGATCATCATCCAGAATGGGCCCTACCTCCAGATCACCCACCTCATCAGGAAGGGGGCTGCGGCCAGGGATGGAAAACTCAAGCCAGGTGAGTGTGGTCTCCCCATGCCTCCCTCCTGTCTGCCTCCGGGGAGACTCCAGTTAGCAGGTTTTAGCGTAACCATAATAATGATGATGACATTGCTTGAGAGCCGATTTCTGTGTGCCAGCCACTTGCTATCACTTTACCAACCCTCGCTGTTGTGCGTTTTTATTCGTTGAATTCTGATCATAAGTCTCCAGGTAGGAGCCGTTGTCATCCCCCTTTCACAGGGGACGAAACTGAGGCTCGGTGAGCTTGAGTTCCTTGCCCAGGTTCACCCCCACCTGGCACATGGGATACACACACAGGCACGGTGTCACTCCAGAGTTTATGGCTCTCAGTGGATAAACCCTTCTTCTTGCGTAGGCAGTATGAATCATCATTAACATTTAGATGCATGATCTCATTTCACCCTCCTGACAATCCCTGAGGTTGATTCTGCATTAAACGACCTTCCAGAGAAGGAATCAGATATTTAGCAACTTGCCTACCAAGGATCAGGGGCTTGAACCCTGTTAGACTTCCGAGCCCAAGGGCTTTATCAACACCGCCCTGCTTCTCTTGTCTTGGGGTGAATGAATTTTCCATCCAGTTCAAGACATGTTTTCCAGTGTCTGCTCCGGTTCTAAGGCTGTGCTTGGGAGCCAGGGAGACACGATGGACTGCAAGGGTGGTGAGAGGGAAGAGCCATCCGGTTTTATCCGGGCCTGAATTCCGGCCCAGGCTCTGTCACTTTGTAGCTCTGTGACCTTGGGCAGAGTCATCTGACCTTCCAGGTGTAGGTCCCCTCATCTCTGATTTGGGATAATACCACCTTCGTCAGAGGTAGCTAGGATTCGGAGAGGTCATGTTTATGAAAGTGCTTTGAAAACGACAGTTCAGTGGGAATACTGGCAATCATTTCTCTTAGGCTGTTCTTAGAGTTTCCAGACTTGGGTTTTCTTGTTTGTTTGTTTGTTGTTGTTTCTAATAAAAAATGATTGTGGTAGAGGAGCCCCAGTGGGTTAAGCCACCGGTTTGTAACTCTTGTTATCTATTAGAATCACCTGGGGAACTTATAAAACTGAGCTGCCTAGGCCCCATCCCCTCAAAGGTTCTGATTCAATTGATCTGGGGCCAGAGGTCGGGTAGTTCATGGTTTCAAAGCTCCTCAGGTGATTGATTCTAAGTGCAGCTCGGGTTAGAAGCAGTGGATTAAATAAAATAGATAAATGATGTCATTGTGAACGTTTCCCTCCCCTTAAAATCCAAAACATCTTCCCCAAATGTCACTACTTGGTGCTGTGGCACAGAGTGCCAGAAGGAGAGGTCTGGACCTTCCAGACCAGAAGAAAAAGTCCAGGACAGGTCGCGTGAGCTTTTCTGCATGTTCTTAGTTTCTCCGGGGTCAGGGGACAGCTGCTGGTTGTTGGAGTGCGACCGGAGTGTGCTTTTATGCACGGGAAGCAGGACCTCATGGTTAGTGGGCTCCCTGAGGTCAGAGGCAGTCTTGAATTCATTTTTTAAATCCAGGACTTACCTACAGTGCTCGTGCATTTGTTATGTCTGTGCTTAAAAAGTGAATAATAAATATTTGTCATAGCCATCGTGCAAGGAGTTTCTACATCTATGATCTCATTTAATCTTTGCACCACGCCTGGAAGGTGGGTAATGCAAGAAGCAGGTACTTCATCCTGAGTCTTTTCCTCTTGGAGGTTAGGCTTCAGCTGTCTTGGAATCAGGGAAATTGAGGGGCCCCTAGCTTCCCATGCACAGAGAGATGAACACACCCTTTGGGACTTCACTTCAAGATAAGAGGGTTGGGGAGAGGAAGGAACTAGGCCAATACACAGAGCTAAGTAGGTGGACAGGGCTGGGACTCCAGCCCATGGCCCCGAGAAAGCCCACACCTTTGACTAGAAATGGGATTTCAGTATCAGAGAGAGTCCAGAGTCCCAGATCTCTTCATGACAGGTCAGTCACTTCCCTTCAGGATCTTGGTTTGAGAGACCGGAATTCAGTGCTTTTGACAATGATTGAGAATTTCAGAGGTGACAGTCCCCCAAGCCTATTTCTTTGACCCCATTATCTCCCAGCCCCATTATTTCTTATCCACATGCTTCATATTTTTCTCTTCTGGTGTTTCAAAATAGGGTTTCATCTTGATTTCCTAGTTTAGTTTAGTGTTAAGTTTATTCTGGCTAAACTTTAAATTCCTTTTGGCCAGTGGTTCCTACAGCCCATTAAAACTGAAAAAAAATGTGTAATGAGGTTGGTATTCATAAATACCAGCTTGGTATTTCTTTATGAAGGGCGATGTTTATATCTATTGCTAGAGTAATCACATTCATACAATGACAGGTTTGGTTTACAGCCAGGATGGTCAGGGAATTAAGCTGTTTTCTGCCCTCTTGATAAAAAAAAAACAACACCCTTTAACAATGTAATTAAGCAGAATGCCAAGCCTTAGCTTTTAGCTATAAACGCTCCTTTTAACATAAGGCACGTAAGCTCATCCAGTGAGGGGTTTTTGTTGTTGGTTTATTTGTTTTTGTTTTTTGCCGTTGTAATTAACCTCCATATGATGAACAGCTATTTCAGACCGCACACCATAGCTGGGAAAAGCTTGTTTCATTTTGAAGTTAGCTGCAGATCCTTGGCTAGTTGTATTACTCTCAGCTACTTTTTAAGACCAAAGTAGGTTTTCTCCACCCTTCTAAGTATTCATTCTGTTTACTACTTTGAAACTTAAGTTTCTGATAGGATCTAGCACTATGTGAGTTTGTCCTTGGCATTCCCCGGAGGCTTCCCTTGAGATTTAGCAGAGTTCTCAACTATAGCATAGTGGGGTGTAGTAGCAGGGAAGGTACTTCATCCTGAGTCTTTTCTTCTTGGAGGTTAGGCTTCAGCTGTCTTGGAATGAGGGTAATTGAGGGGCCCCTAGCTTCCCATGCACAGAGAGATGAACACACCCTTTGGGACTTCACCGGAGTCCCTTCATCCAGTGTTAGCTATAAAATCTCCATTACCATTTGGTAGGCTGTTAGTTCTAGTAAGATCTGCTAAGACTTTATCCAATGTGAGCCCTTAAAAAGTAATTTCTTTGTATTCCTTCCTCTCTTGCTGTGTGTCTTTGTGGTAGTCAGGATTCTTCACTGCAAGCAATAGAAAACCGTTCTATTAAGGCACTGAACTTAGAACACTGAGTCTGACAGAATTGCCAGAAAGGCTGGAGAACCAGACTTGGAAAACGATGAGAGATCAGAGGGCCATGTAGAACTACCCCTGGCAGCCGGGTGCTCCTGTCACCCCTTTGCATCTCCTGCTCCGGGTTTAGTGACCCAGGTGGGTGTGCCCCATGGCTGGATCTCCTTTACACGTCCATGCACAAATGAGTAATTGGTCTTTGTAACATCCACTTTGGGGGCCCAGGGGCTTGCGGTCAAGATGTGGTTTTCTTCCCACTTGCTGGGGAATCAGAAGCTCCATGGTTGACCATCACGCTTCCCTCCCTGTCCAGCAGTGCCCTAAAGTAGGCAACCTAGCTGTCAAATCCCTTTAACCAACATACTCTGTATAGACATTGTAAGCTTAATTAAAGGATGCTAAATGTCCAGTGTTTTTCATGCAGAATTATTTGTTCAACTCATACTGTGCAAGGCAGAAAATTAAAATCAAAGTCTTGATGTTAATACCAGTGGAGGGCACTGGAAATTGCCAGGCAGGTACAAGAGAAACTAGGTCATTTATTCACTTAGTATAAGTGGTTTTTTCTTTAATAGTAATAGCTATTCATTTTACTTGAAACAAACACATTTTTAGAATCTTAAAGGATGGTTCAGATTATAAATGGTTTTTCTTCTGTCACACCAAGGACTAAAGAAATGCAGTAAAAACATGAAATAATATCTACCATTACACTGCTATTAAGAAACATCTTGCATGCATTCTCCATTATGCAAAGGACACTCACATCACTGAGATGACTGCTTTTATTAAATAAAGGCTGAAGCCTGGTTTGGGTTTGAAACGAACCAACAATATGAACCCTTAAAATGAAACACCTCAGTAGAGCCAGAAGTGGTATGAGCCCACTGACCCATTATCTTAATTTACTGATAATTTTTTCCCTCTTCAGGTGATGTTCTGATTAGTGTTGGCCATGCCAACGTGTTAGGATATACTCTTCGAGAATTTTTAAAACTTTTGCAGCAAATCACCATAGGAACAGTGCTACAAATCAAGATTTACCGAGATTTTATTGAGATACCCCAAGAATGGCAAGAAATCTCTGATTTAATCCCTGAGACCAAATTTCCAGTAACATAGTAAGTAGTTGATTTTAGGAAATCTTTTGTTATGCTAGTACCTTGGGGTCTGTGAAGCACTGGGTCTTGGTTTCATGGGAGAATGACCAGTTGGACCAGAGTGGGAGGGATTGGTGAAACAACCACAATAATTTAGTGGGTTCTAAATCCTTCTGGAAAAGTACAATCTACAGGACCTAATGTGAGGCAGATTGATGAAGGGCGAGAGCCTTGAACCTGGAGCTCTAACAAAGAGAACCATTCAATGGGAGCTCTGCCTGCAGATCTACCAGCCATGTGTCCCCTTGTCCAGAGTTAGCCTTAAACACGTGCGGTGAGTCCCATCCCTTCGTCTCCTGCACACTCGGCTTCTCTCTGCATCCTTTTCAACAAGTAAGCCTTAGGCCTCTGCCATCTTCCCAAACCCCACCTTGACTCTGCTGCCCTCTGCCTGCTCCCCTGCCACGGTCCTGTCCCTTTGACTCCAAACGGGTAGAAAGAGCTGTAGCAGATGTGGGCCATTTCCCCAGGAGATGATTTTCCAGGTGCTCTGCCTCCCACCTCTGTGTAGGCCTTGCTTTCTTCACCTGGCCAAGAGGCCTCTTGGCAGGGCCCCCCCGCAGCCCTCACGTTCCTGACTCCGGTAGACTCAAGTCTTCATTGTGCTTGGCTTCTGGGCAGCGTTCGACGCCCTACATCTGCCACCCTCACTCCTGTTGAAACATCATCTTCCCCAGGCTTCTGCCTTGGCGTTCCCCGGGCTCTTTGGCTTCCTTCTCTAGTCTCCTGGGCCATCTCTCACTGGTGCCTGTGGTTTCTATCACTCTCCAAACATGAGTGATTTTCAAATTGTATGATCTTCAGTCTCCCACTTGGTAGCTCCATTTGGGTGTATCACAAACCCCTCACAGTCCTTATGCCAAAAAATCAAAAGCCAGCTTACTGCTGATCTCCCAGTGGCCCTATTTTACTGGGGGAACACTTGCCTAGTTGAACAAGTCTGAAATTTAGGGGTCGTGCTAGATTTCTCCATCTCCCTTGTTTCCGCCCAAAATAATCATAGACTTGTCATTTTACCTTCTAACTGTCTCTCACATTTGTCCATTTCTCCCTGGCCACTACCATCACCCCAGTCAGAGCCACCGTTGTCTCTACCATCTACTCCTGTCCCCTATTCATTCTCTACACAGAACAACCCTTTTACAATGCAAATCTGACTTTGACATGTTCCTGTTTAAAATCTTTTCAGACCTTCTGTTCTCGGGACAAATGCCCAAACCCTTATATTGGTCTCTGCTACCCCATGTGGCTAGTGTCTGTATCCCACGGCAGCCTTACCTCATACTGCTCTCCCTTTCCCTCTCTAGTCCACTTTGGCTTTCAGCTTTTTTGCCTTGTTTCTCTTTGCCTCGGGGCCTCTGCACTTGCTCTTCTGTCTGCAACATGCTTAGGACCCCGTCATTACTCGTCCTTGAAGGCTTACAGCACAGACTTTTTCCAAGAGGACTTCCTAAATTAGAAAGCATTAAAAACACTGTCTGGTCCACCCATCATACGCTTTCAAAGCAATATGTGTGTGTATCTCCTTCACATTTCTCCTAATTTCAACGAAGTAATCTGTATCATCCATTGTTTACTCTGTTGCCTGGGAGAATGCAAACTGAAGGCAAGGACTAAGTCTCTGTTGTTATGCTAAATCTACCACAGGACTTTCCTGTGGTTTCCTTTATTCAGCGAATGAAAATTAAAATCCAGCTTCGAGGCTCAGGCAAATCACTTATCTCTGACGGTTTGGTTATCTGTAACCCAAGAGTACCAGAGACTCTCCTGCTGGTCACACCCGTGAGGAAGGTCTGTCGAGCATGAGAACATGTAGAACACGAGATCCTTTCCCTTCAACGACCAAGTTCAGTGCTCTGATGCAAGAGTGGTCCTTATTAATTCAACAGGATTTCCAAGCATGAGTTGCTACAGCTGTGTATTGGGATGGGCTCAAGGAAATCTGGCTGGGGACTTACTAAGGCCTAAAAGAGGGCCCACGTTGCATTGACATTACTTCAGATATTCCCACTTGTGGTCCAAGGGACTGACTGATATGGCCAACAGATGTGCTTTGCTAGTCTCCCACAGCACTTTATTTTATTTATTTATTTTTAAAGATTTTATTTATTTGACAGAGAGAGACACACTGAGAGAGGGAACACAAGCAGGGGGGAGTGGGAGAGGGAGAAGCAGGCTCCCGGCTGATCAGGGAGCCTGATGTGGGGCTCGATCCCCAGGACCCCGAGATCATGACCTGAGCTGAAGGCAGACGCCCAACGACTGAGCCACCCAGGCGCCCCTCCCACAGCATTTTAAAAAGCCAGAATAGGGCACCTGGGTGGCTCAGCTGGTTAAGCAGTCGATTGCCTTTGGCTCAGGTCATGATCGCGGAGTCTGGGATTGAGTCCCACCATCAGGGTCCCTGCTCAGCAAGGAGTCTGCTTCTCCCTCTGACCCTACCCCCTCTTGTGCTCTCTCTCTCAAATAAATAAATAAAAATAAATAAATAAATAAAATCTTAAAAAAAAAAAAAAAAAAAGGCCAGAATAGCAATGACGTGTAGAGAGAAAGGAAGATACCCAGGGGCTTTTCCAGGGGCCAGTACTCTTATTTCTTGACCCCAGCGTGTGTGGCTACCGAAGTGTTTATAACTTTTTTTTTTCATTAAACTGCCTGGTTTTTTTTTTTTTTCATTTTTCTGTATATTTCAAAATTTTTTAAATGAAAAATATTTGAATTAGTTGCCCAATTTACACATCTAAGATTTCATGGAAAGAATCTGCATCTCTGGTTTCTCCTGAAAAATCAGAAGATAGGCCTGCATCCCCACATGGTGACAGTGGGACTAGAGCTGGGTAGAGCTGTCTGTCCCCTTAGATCAGGCACGACAGGGGACAAGTTTTTTCCCCACTAACCAAACCAATCATGCTGTAGTTAAAAATCATTCACGGTAACATTGCTTACTATGCAGTGGACACTGCTTACCGAGCGTTATACCCCTAATCCTCAGGCCAGTGCTTTTTATTATCCTGATTACAGATAGGAAAAAGGAAGCCAGGAGAGGTGTCTGTAAACTTGCCAGAGGTCAGAGGGCGAAGTGTGACTAGGTCTGTCTCTAGAGCAGCGATGTTCAAAAAGAACTTACTGCGGTGGTGTAAATGTTCTCTATTTGTGCTGTCCCGTGTGGTAGCCACTATTAAGCACCTGGAATGTGAGGAATTGCAACTGAGGAATTTTAAGTTTTCGTCAAGTTTAATCAGTTAAAACTCAGCAGCCACACACAGCTGGTGGACCCTGTACTGGGGGGTGCGGCCTGGGTTCTTAATCATTTGTTTACAGAATGATTATGTTTCTAAGCATTTTAATTGTTCAGAGTTTGAGATTCAGGATATGAAAATCTAAGAATGGCAGACTGACCATTCAAAAACAAAGACGAGAGAAACAGAATAGCACAACTCAAATATGAGGCTAAAGCCCACGGACTTAGGAACAATAGCAAGCACTTTCTGAATCCCTTCCTTAGCTCAACAAAATGCTCGTATGTAAGGCACTTTGGGAATTTATATGGAAGGGGGCAGGGAAGGAGCACAAAAAGGAAGAAAAGGCTTCTTAGAAAGCTGGTATGACCTTTTTCAGGAGCAATGGCACTGTGTGCACACTGGAGAATATTCCATATAATACTCTGGGCAGGCCCAGTGGTACCAAAACTGTTGCCAACTCTCACCTCTGCTGGCTTGTGACTAAGAACCTGGCTCTACTACCTGTTCTTTAAAGTTACCTAATACCAAGTTACAAAGGATATTCTTTGCAGTCTGGAAAAAAAAATAACGTGGATTCCCGCCCCCCCCCCCCCCCCCCCCCATTCACGAGCTGTTCAGGAAGTCCTGGGCATGTCTGAAGGCAAAGTGTTCTAATCCTGAGATCTTTTGAATCTCTTAGCACAGCACTAAATCAAGGATGAAGGAAAGTCCACATTTTAATAAGACTAGTGGTTCTCAGTGAAAATGACTCAATTACTAATTATTTATTACCAGAAGAGAGAAACTTTAGGAAAACCTGTTCAAATTCTTGGAAACAAATAGAACAGTCAGAACTGCAAGAATATTAGTGATAACACAAGCAAGTCTGAAATGTTGGGAGAGGGGGCTGCTGGGGAAGAAAATGAATTCCTATTTCCCCATAGCAGGACGGATGTGCCAGAGGTCCACAATCACTAATACCAGGATGAGGGGGAGCAGGGAACAGCATTTGTTCGGGAGAGTAGCAGGTGCAGGAACGGCAGGCTTTAGAAAAGCTGAAGAGGCCAGCAGCTGCCAGCAGGCCAGCACTGCCCAAGTTTCAACAATCAAGAAAGCCAGTAGTTGGGGATATGAGGGTGATCGGGCTGGCCAGGCAGGTGTCCCTTTCCTCCCTCATCGCTCCCGAAGCTGCATGCTCAAAGCGGACAACTATCCTCTCTGGTCAAGGGTGTAGGAGTAGCTGCGCTCCTCTGCTGGAACCTCCAAACAAGCTCTCAAGAGAGCCAATAGTGGGGGCAAGTTACAAAAAAATCTTTAAAAGCATTTGGCCAGAAGCGTGCCTGGGTAGCTCAGTCGGTTAAGCGACTGCCTTTGGCTCAGGTCGTGATCCCAGGGTCCTGGAATCGAGCCCACATCGGGCTCCCTGCTCTGCAGGCAGCCTGCTTCTCCCTCTGCCTGCCGCTCCCCATTTGTGCTCTGTCAAATTAAAAAAAAAAAAATCATTTGGCCAGCAATGGAGAAGTAGAATACTGAATGAGACACATCTGGGCCTAGAAGGTATTGTATAAATCCATGTTTCTAAACCCAAAAGCGAGGCAAATGATAATGCTCAGGAGAAAAAAGACTCAAAGATTTCCTGATGACTAGTGTGCTGAAGATCTTAAGAGGCCCACTAGTTTTCAAATATGCTGGAAATCGGTAATACCCGGTTACTGCTGTTATTGCTGACCCCATGTGACCCATTAGAACAGAGCTCTGTGGAGGACATGGCCAGGCTGACCTGTCATTCTGGAGGGAAATTAACCTACACTTTAAGGCCTGCTAAGATTCTGGTCGGTAGCCTGGCTTAAGTCAGTACAAAGCAACGTGAAATAATTTAAGGCAGAATTCTATTTACACTTAGGAATGGAAACAAACGTAAAGGTACTTTTCAAGAGAAAAACATCAGCAACACACAAAGTGCCAAAGCTAAATCATATCCTCTCTTTTACGAACCAAAGCGGCTTATAAGACATCTTGTTAGGGGACAATGAATGTTCAGACAATTAAAAATCCATTTATTTCACTATTTTTTTTTCATTTCAGCCCAACAAAGAAAACTGAGCAGGCAAAAGGCGACCCTTTAGCAAGCAGTGATGACAACGAAGATGTAGTTTCAGATAAGAAACTTAAGTATTATAAATATCCAGGGTCCACTGGGCCTCAGTCTGCAACGAGACCAATGTCTATCTCTAGAGAGTGGCATGGATATAAAAAGAAGAACCGTACTATCAGTGTAGGGAAAGACATTAACTGTGACGTGATGATTCATAGAGACCACAAGAAGGAAGTGAGAGCCCCTTCTCCATACTGGACAATGGTGAAGCATGACAATGAGAGCTCGTCCTCCTCCACAGCCTCCTCCACCTCGGATGCATTTTGGCTGGAAGACTATGCCCAAGTTGAAAAGCGCAAGGGTCAACCTGTCTCAAAAGTTGCTTAGGCAGCAGTTTGCAAACTGGTGATCACATAAGCATCTATCCTGAAAACACCCAACTTTTGTGCATTGCTCTGTACAGGTTTGCTATACTTACAGGAATATGTGCAGACTTAAAAATTCTTTCCCAAGTGCATGGTAATGCCTTCAGAGACCTTCTTCCACATGTTATCTGAACACTTCCCTGGGGCCGGACAGGCCTCACCACCTTATTCTCAAAAAAGCAACATCAGTCACATCATTAACACACTCCCTTCTGACAAGAATGTCTCATCTTTTACAAAATGCAGTGGAGGAATCCAGGATCAGAATGTATGAACATAGAGAGAATTTCACTTTTTAAGGTAAGTACCACATTTTTATTTACTTAGTTTCTCTTGTTTTGCAAATTTCAGATGCCCTACTTAAAATAAATAAGAGGCATATTTTTCTGGCTGATTGTTCACGTGTAACATTTTTTCCCCCTTTTCAGCCCTAAGAAACAGAACAGAAAACAGACGAGGGTGAGGGAGATGAGGAAAAAGACAAAACTGTCATACAGTGAAGATAAATCTGACATAAAATGAGGCAGTGGGAATACAGGATATGACTAATAGGGAATTTAAATTTTTCAGAAATAACTCTATTGCAAGAAAGACAGAAAAGGGGGTAAAACCCAGACTATTGAATTATTCTGACTCAAAAGGACAGATTTTTAAACTGGTTTTATCTTTAAAAGCCATCAATAATTATCTTAATAGTTTCTGATGCTTCTGGACTCTATTATTGTATTCCTGTTCTCCTTTACAGCATCTAAAAGACCTCAGCATATAATAAATACTTGATTAACCAGGGGCGCCTGGGTGGCTCAGTCGGTTAAGCGACTGCCTTCGGCTCAGGTCATGATCCTGGAGTCCCGGGATCGAGTCCCATATCGGGCTCCTTGCTCAGCAGGGGGTCTGCTTCTCCCTCTGACCCTCCCCCTCTCATGCTCTCTGTCTCCCATTCTCTCTCTCAGATAAATAAATAAAACCTTAAAAAAAAAAAAAAAGATTTGAAAAAAAAATACTTGATTAACCAATTGCAAAGATGCAAGAAAAACATTTAAACAGAATGTTTTATTGACTTTCAGTCAGCTGGGGATAATTACCTGTATTTACGTGTTAAAACACTTCACCTCATTGAAAAAAAAGAGATGAATGTTATATTAGAGATATTTGACTTTCACGGGTTTGCCGCTCTGGGCTGAGAACATGTTCAGCTCTTCCCTGCAGGATGTGTTTCAGTATTACAACTCATCAACAAAAGGCGTATGGCTCAGATTTCCACTTGCTGCCATTGACTTCCGGCCAGAAACAAACTTCTTTGCAGCCTTTAAGTAAACAAACAAAAAAAGAAAAAAATTAACAGAGATAAGAGAATGTATTATCCAGCAGACAAACTTATTTACTCTGTTGTTTCAAGAGCGTATGGGACAGGGCATCCTGAGCCAGCAACCCTGTACTAAGAAGCTCTTGTGAAATTAACTACAGGAGAGCACTGAGCATTATTTTCATTTGTGACGCTGTAAGAAAGTAAGCTCAGGTGTTCCTTTGAATGTTCCCTCCTACATGTGACAGAGCAAGTATGGTGCTCCAGATTTGAGGGTAGCTGTTAAAAAGGGGGATAGGGAAAACCTCACCGACATTGCAAAATAGGGCAGAGGCGGCCTCAGGCCAGGCAGTACTTTGCAGTTTCTGTTTTATAACGGCAAATAGTCTGAGTCAGTAAAAATACCCCAACTGTTAAAAGTCACACTTTCTCTCGTTGTGTTCTTCATGCCACTATTTGAAGACCACAGGCTGGTCGTTTAGGTGTACTGCCACGAGTAGCAGCCCCCATGTTCTCTGAAGCCAGCTTTTTCATGGGGACACAGTGCTAGAGGCAGCTGGGGCCGGGACTCACATAACGGTCGTATACAAGAGGAGGCGAGCCATTTGGAAGAGTATGAAAATGATGAACTTAGGGGCCAACTGAAATCGAGTCAAGGTTACTGCTTTAAAATAAAATAACCTGTTTCTTTTTTCTAACCTCACTGTCCCTACATAAGGTAGAGCTGTTGTTGAGAAGACGGCTGAGACCTCTATGATGCAAGAGGAGTCGACATTTTTAATATAGAAAGAACTGGGAAAACCCACTGATTTTGGATTTATTCTGTAGTTCATGTATTTGTTAGGTACAATAGGGAATACAAAAAGGTGTAAGACGTCGTCCTTGCCCTCAAAACAGCTGAATCTCACAATATATGTGAAAAAAAAATAGCAATAGAAGGAGGAATGTCTTGGGCTGAGATGAATGGATATCCCATGCAGGACTGGCATGACAGAGTTTATTTCTTGGGAGGAGAATCACATGAAAATCACCTTTCAGAATTTTAAATGGTTTGATCTACTGGGACTTTAGCTGAATGAGGAAGACACACACATGGAGCTGACCAGGAAGCCATCTGCAGACTCGACGGGAAGGAGCGAGCCCTCCCGTCTCCGCATCAGGCAGCCAGCCACCAAACCGCAGGATTGGGACATATACAGCCCAAGGGAGCTTGTGCATTCCTTCTGAGACTGGATCATTAAGGTCAAATTATTTGATGTAAAATCAGAAGTTTTCATTCACTCACGTTTACAACATCGGCATCAGCAACGGAGTCTATCTGCTGAAGGACGGTGGCTGGCGGTGTGTACGATCCTGCACCCAGCGCCTGGGACCCGACTTCATCCAGGAACCCCTCAGAAGACTCCACTGACATTAGGTAGCCAGCTTTCAGCTTGTTCCTGTCCAGTAAAAGGTATGTAACTAAGGCAGAAGCCAGTTTTATAAGAGCAAGGCAATTTGAAAGTATGTTCTCAAACCAAATAAAGTATGTTTTCAAACACAAACATGTTTTGGTAAATGAACAGTTTTGGAAATCTTACAGGGCTAAAGGCCTCCATTCTGTCTTCAGTTCACCAATTATGTGATTATGTGATTATTTAGAAAGCTGTCAATATGAGATTATACTGGAAACCCAACAGACTGCCTTTTGATTTTAGACTAGAATTTAAGACTATTTTAATGTGAAGTTTTGATTAGTGAAGTAACTCTTCCTCCAAATACTTTTCTGGTGATGATTTTAGGCATTTCTATTAAAGCAGAACACCTATGTGGGGTCTTCAGGCACTGTCCACTTAGTGGAATATTGTGTGCTGATTCTCTATCTACCAGCAACCCCCCAGGCCCATTTCTACAAGGAGCTTGGTCTCAATGAGGGTGGGGAGTGACTGAGAAGACAGGTGGGGAAGGACAGTAGAGGTCTTTTTTTTTTTTTTTAAAGATTTACTTATTTATTTATTTGTCAGAGAGAGAGAGAGAGAGAGGGTGCACAAGCAGGGGGAAGGCAGACAGAGGGAGAAGCAGGCTCCCCGCTGAGCAGGGAGCCCGATACGGGACTCGATCCCAGGACCCTGGGAGCATGACCCGAGCTGAAGAGACATTTAACTGAGCCACCCAGGCTCCCAGGACAGAAGAGGTCTTACAGTCTGTGCAGCTTAAATATGGGCACAAAGCATGAATTTGAAATAAAAATCCAATTCATAATTCTCTCTTGAATAATTTAACTCTCAAACTATCCTTGTTTGGCACTCTGTAGCAAGAGTTCCATTTACACATAATCACAATTTAATGCAGCAATTTTACCACACTGTCAGTTTAATTAAAAAAAAATTTACCTCCTTCCCCCCCCCCCCCAAGAGAGGGAGGGGGGCAGAAGAAGGAGAGAGGGAGTCTCAAGCAGGCCCTACACCCAGCACAGAGCCCAATGCAGGGCTTGATCTCACGACCCTGAGATCATGACCTGAGCCGAAACCAAGAGTTGGACACTTAACTGAGCCACTCAGAGGCCCCAAAGAGTTTACAGATTTTACCTCTTCACTCTAGGCAACAAACGGATGGTTACCAGAGGGGAGGTGGGTGGGGGGATGGGTGAAATAGGTGATGGGGATTAAGGAGGGCACTTGCTGTGATATATGGAAGGGTTGACTCACTATATTGTACTCCTGAAACTAATATTACACTGTATGTTAACTAACTGGAATTTAAATAAAAACTTAAAAAACTTTTTTTTACCTACAATAAACTTTACCAAGAGATTATTAGTTTGTCCCTTCAGCAATGACACCATGCTTTCTTTCTTTCACTACAGGAAGACTAATAAGAATCTTACAAGAAAAAGTATCAACTCCATCAAAATGGCAGAAAACAAGCATATCTTGATATTAATAACTGAAATTCCATTTTCTACATGTTGCCATACCTTATAAAAACTGTGCTACGCTTAAGAAAATATATTTTCTTAAATAAATTAGATTTGAAACTGATTTTTCTTAAGTAAATCCAGTGTTTCAATTTATTCTCATCATGTTTTGTTTGTGGTGCAATCATGTAGAACTGCATCCTATTAACCAATCCTTGGTTCCATGTACATATTTAATAAACTGTATTGTACTTATTTAAGAGAGGCAATTTTTAGTGTGTTCAGTGTAACAGAAGTAATAATGCTAATGGGAACAATCTGAAATGACCAGGAAGCTGTTCCCTTCTGAGTCATAATTTGCCCCATCATACTTCCTCTGTGGGCAATACTAAACGATTAGGAAGACATTGTTGAGTTTCACGATTCACATTTTGAACTGTCCTGAATAGACGGAGTCAAATTTCAGTGTTTTAAACTGCTGTATGAAAATGCAAGCTGATTTCCAGCTCGGTCCGAAGTGTGTCTCTTTTGTTAGACTCTCCAAACTACTGAGTGAGAGGTGTTGCTGGCACTCCCAGTGAAAACAGTGGGAATTAAAAAAATCGCCAAATAGGAGACAAGTACTTCAATCTTTTAATCAGATACAGTGGTCCCCCTTTATCCATGGGGGATACCTTCCAAGACCCCCAGTGGATGCCTGAAGCCATGGTTAGTACCAAACCCTATATATACTATGTTTTTCCTAACATACCTATAGTTAATTTATAAATTAGGTACAGTGAGATATAACAATAACTACTAATAAAGTAGAACAATTGTAATAATATGCTGTAATAAAAGTTATGTGAATATGGTCTCTGTCA